GCTCTATTTGTATTCTCTTCCCTTTAGCCTAGATCTCTCCAATCATTCTTCACGGACCTTGCTACATCTGCTATTCTGATTAATACATAGGAAAAACCATGCTAAGTGAATACTGTCACATTACCTGGAAGCAGATTTTGTTCTTACACTTAGATAAATATCAAACTAAGTCAACATCTTTTGTATAAATGATACTGGATTTTGCTTAACTGCATGTTGACTCATTCTAAGCTTTCCAAATTATTTAGGAAGGATGTCAGCATATTAATAATACTTGTTATCTTTTGTAATGAACAACATGCTTTCTTTTTTTTTTTTTTTTGTACTGGGGATTAAACTCAGGGGCATTCAACCACTGATCCACATCTCCAGCTCTATTTTGTATTTTATTTAGAGACAGCGTCGCACTTAGTTGCTTAGTGCCTCACTTTTGCTGAGGCTGGCTTTGAACTTGTGATCCTCATGCCTCAGACTCCCAAGCCAATGGGATTACAGGTGTGCGACACCACACCCAACTGAACATGCTTTCTTAAGGGTACTTCGTTATCCTGTTAGGCAATTTTGGAAATGTCCCAAAAGATAACAAAAGAGCATAGCCAGGCACAGTGGCACATGCCTATAATTCCAGCTATTCATGAAGCTGAGGTAGAATTGTAACTTAAAGGCCAGAGTGGGCAACTTAACACTGTCTCAAAATAAGGTGAAAAAGTCTGGGGATATATGTAGTTCAATGGCAGTGTGTTTGCAGTGTTTGCCCAGCATTGCAAAACAGAACAAAAACATAATAAAGAGAGAAGAAAATTCAAGAAAGTTACCAGCACTCCTAGAAAAAGGGACTCAAAGATCTTACATGAATCAAAAAGAATATAAAAAGAAACTCAAAAAGGAACTTTACCCACCTAGACTTTCTCCTCAAGCCCAACTCTCGCCCCACACTTATCTTACTTATCTCTAAAAACTAAAGCACATATTTTACAGCTCTTCAAGTGTCTAAAAATTGCATTAATATTTACATTAACAAAAAGGAAATATTCCATCATCTCTTTTTTGTCAAAAGCTATCATAAATGGTAAAGATAAATGAAAAAGAGTCACCCATTTCAGCACATGCTCTAACAACACTGGCTTATTTATCACAATTTTAGACTTACTGATCACATGATGGCTGTGACTACCTCAGGGAAAGCTCTCTGGCTTTGTGCCTCCATTTCCTCACATACCCTGTTCTACAACAGAGAATCTGTGTAATGCATTTATTATTCAATAAAATACTATTAAATGGCAGTCAAAATATTAAGCAATTATCAGTCTGAAATATACTTGAACTGAATGAAGAGCCACTAAATAACTACTCAGTTTCTTCACATTTTGGTTTGGGGACAGATGTACAGGCAGTAGAAGCAGAACACAGATGGACATTCGATGGGATGACATGGAAGGAGACCTGCTATTTCTGAAGGATGAAACAAATCAGAAAAGATGGGTTAAAAGATGTTGAAATCGGATGTGCCAAGTTCTCTGGTAGAGTGTTTGACCTCTTCTTAAGTAAGGGCACTAAAAAGAGTGGTGAAGATATTTTGGTCCCCAGTAAAGTCAAGTTTATCAAGGAATCTCATCACAGGTAAAAGGATAAAGTCACAATGATCAAACACCATTGTATTATATCATTACCAGAGACTAAGAAATACCCACGGGTCAGGTGGCAGCGTACACAATAGTGTAACATTAATAGCTAATCTAGGGCTGGTGTCATGGCTCAGCGGTAGAACACTGCCCTAACATGTGGGAGGCCCTGGGTTCTATCCTCAGCACCACATATAAATAAAGTTATTAAAAAAAAAAAATTCAAGACTTTTAAAAAAAATAGCTAATCTAAAAATTAGAGACCCAAATTCTAATCCCAGAACTGTGTCACTAAACTAAATAATATAACTTTGTTATATAACTATTCCTGAGATTGAGCTAAAGAATAGGAAGATCATCTGTAAGTTTCTTTCCACTTTTCAAGCTACCACTATTTCAGATATATAGACGTGAATTCGTAAAATTTTGCCCAACAATTAGAGGCAAAGTGTGTAAAGTCCACACAATTATAACCAATGGCATTCTGTAGACAACAGCTTATTAGAAACTCTTGGATGTATTAAGACATGGCTTTAAAATGTGGAAAATTAATTAGGTAAAAATACATTAAATCAATTACTAACAAGATTAAGTTTGGGGGGGAAATCCAACCATTACCATTATTGTTATTTAATCTATCACTAAAAAAATATATTTGTGTTAATTAATTTTAAAAATATATGCTACTTAACTGAGGTTCTACACAATGATTTTAATTTTTTGCAGTGCTGGAGATGGATATTGGAGCCATACTAWGATTAGGCAAGTGCTCTACCAATGAACTACCCCAGCACCACCTATTTTGAATTATTAAAAAAGATTAAGGATGACAGATACACATAAAGGAAGCCTAATTTTTCTTACCAGTGACTCTTCCCCCAAAGTAAATCATTCTGCTCATTTCTTCTTAAGAGAGTATGTATTTGACATATTAGCATTTTAGAATCTTCAGTGGGATTTCAGTAAAGAATCACAGGAAATGTTTATTCTTTCTTTGGGGGGGGGGGTCAGAGGAGGTACTGGGGATAGAAYCAGAGGTGCTTTACCTCTGAGCTACATCTCCAATCCTTTTTATTTTGAGACAGGGTCTGACTAAATTGCTAAGACAGACCTTAAACCTACAATTCTCCTGCTTTAGCCTCCAGAGTTGCTAGGATGTGTGCCACCACTCCCAGCAGAAATTATTATTTTTTCAATATAAAATTTTGGGCCTTATTTTCTAACACAAGTAAAACTGAGCAACTTCAGTAACATGTTGCATCTTTAATTTCGAACTAATATAATTGACAATCTTTAGGAAAACACTGAACTATTATTTTGATTACACCYATTGAACCTATTATTAAAGAAAAATTTGACCCATTTTCCTTAAATTCTAGCCATTTTTTTTCACATCTGGTTTGACTTTAACACACTTCCACCTACTGAAAGTGAAAATGACTTCATTCTCAAGTTAATTTTTAATCCAGACAGCTTATATTTTAAAATAACAAAGTGAAACAACCCCAACGAAAATAAAGACTCTCTCTGAAATCCTCAGAATGTAAAACCTGTGTATTATCCTTTGAGATTAACCAAAGGTAAGCAAAATTAATTTATAAAAGCTTTTCTCTAAGCTCCTTTCTTTAAAACAAAGGCTAACTGTAGAGAGCTATTAACACATTCAATGGACTGGGGTTGTAGCTCAGTGGTAGATCACTTGCTTTGCATGGGTGCGTAAGGCACTCAAATCTGTGGCTCAAGGGGTAGCGTGTTCGCCTGGCATGCATGGGGCGCTGGGTTCGATCCTCAGCACCACATAAAAATAAAGATGCTGTGTCCACCGAAAACTAAAAAATAAATATTAAAAAATTCTCTCTTAAAAATAAACAAACATATAAACAAAGATATTGTGTCCACAACTAAAAAAATATTTTAAAAACCCAAACAAAACCAAAAAAAAAAAAAACACTTTCAAGGGCAGAGAACGTCTATAGGAAGGCCTGCTCTACACTAGAATAAAATTAACACATTTTGGTTATCTAACAAAAAAGGCAGCAAAAAACATTGAAAAGACTAAGCATGTCAGAAGTTCTGGTTTCTGGTTGTTCTATTTAAATCCTAACTTTCTCACTTGCAATAAAGGGAAATTGTAATGACCTCTAAGGTCCCATTTCAGCTCTTCAGTATTTCAAGATACCTACGGTCAAGTTTTTAGTTGCTTGAAAACAGTAACAGAAAACTAATTACCCACTTCCCACCAGACCATTCTTTGTCAAGCAAAGCTTGAGTCTTATTTATCTTATTCTTCCAACCAAAAAAAAATTAAATTAAAAAATAAATAAATAAAGGAGACATATTTAGTGTTTGTGCATCTTCTAATCAGACACTATTAATCATTTCTTTTAAAATTAAATTACCTACCTCACTGGGGTGTTGTGAGGATTAATTCATTAGTGTTTGTAAAGCACTTTGAGATCCTCAGGTCAAAGGCGCTATAGAAGTGCAAAGTAGTAGTATTATTACTAGATTCTTTGCTTATTTAAGGAATTTCACAATCCTTTAAAACCTGTGTTGATTTAGACATCTATTTGTAAAAATCTATTATTTATCCATATTACTTTAAATTCTTTTTTAATATTATAGATAGACAGGGGTAGATGTTTCATAACAATTAATTTTAAAGGTCAAACTCTAATCTACAAATGGAGGGAGAGTTGAGGAAAATCCAGTGTGACAAATTTTGTTCAGCATAAAATTTTAGTAAGAGACCCTGTCAATCAGTGTGCCTAAGGTGAAAAACAAAGCAAAACTGCACTTTAATTATGGATTCTACAATGAGAAATTCCTTTCTTTAAGAGGAAAGGAAACAAATCCAATCAACTCACTTTAAAAAGCTAACACTGCCCTTGTAAATTATTTACATGCATATGCGTGCAATTGGCATTTAAACCTTTACATTTAAATCACATACTAACAGTTTTAGTATGAGCTAATATCAAAATAATTGAGCTGCTTTTTTAACTAGCCTCCCACCTTCAATTACATAAAGCAAACTAAGCGCTGAGAGGAGGTCAAAGCAAATTTGCTTTATGGAATTAAGAGAAAACCAAGGGTCAAAGCTTCTAAACTGGTTAAAATCTTGGATTATTCAACCACTCCACCCTCTTTTCTAACCAAATCATTTTACAATTAAAGCTGTTGTGTTTTTAAAGCGAAACAACACACATACATATACACACAAAGCTAAGAGAACCAGAATATCTATATATTGAACGTTCTACTCAATAAACACCTCTTCTTAAACATTCCAACATCCTCTGATGAGCTTCTCCAGTGCAACACAAGCTCCAGTTAAGATGGAACTGAAAATCAGATATTAAATTTTTAAACACTTACCTCCTGCTCCTGTTGAAAGATGACAACTCTACCACCTTTATCTCCTGTTGCTAGTAATTCTCCAGAATGATTAAATTCTACTGTAGAAATTATATCTGCTGTATAATCAGAACAAAAACAAAAGACATTAGTTTGTTTTCCAATTCACTGACTTCAGAGCTGAGCATGTTTCCTGACAAATTCCAAGTCTATGTATCAATTCACCAACAGAAACAATSAATTTTAAGTTCTTTCAAGTATATTTTAATCCACTAAAAAAGAAAAAAAAACCCATAGTAACCAACTTAAAACTATTTTAACAAACAGAAGCACAGTGAATAATAAATTAATAGTTTATTAATATTTTACTAAAATTTGTGAATGCAAAGAAATCAACAACTTCTGCAACATTCTTTGACAGAATGATCAAATACAAAACAATAGTTATCTTGCTAATCTTCTAACTATATATCTTTGAGAAACTTGGGGTTTGCCGATTTTTAGATGCTGAGGATCACACCCAGGGCTTCAGCATGCTATGCAACTGCTCTACCATACTCCCACACCCAAAAATGACCTATAAAATTTTTAAGGCAGCTATTACTAGAATGAGGGTAAAATTGAAAATGTAAAAATAATTTCAGATGGAACTTTAATAGTCATAAATTCAAATTTTATCCTCAAATATTAATAAACAGAACTCACTTAGAATTCTGAACATTTAAACAACTCACTCAAGTCAAAAGAAAACTATTACATACACAGGATTAGGCTGATAATAYAAATTTAAGTAGAATAAAAACTACCAATATTTGGGAATATCTTAAGATTATTTAAGCAACTATAAGATGGTTTTAAAAGACAGACGGTGATACAACAATGTTAGAGTCTTAAACTGAACTTCATGCTTGGCCCAGTATGACAGACACATCAAATGAATTCTCACAAACCACCAACAATTAAATGCCAAAGAAAACTAACAACTTTTAAAAGGATAATCTTTCCTAAAAWGATTTATTTAAAAATACTATTTTGAGGGGCTGGGGCTGTAGCTCAGTGGCAGAGCGCCTGACTATCATATGTGAGGCACTGGGTTCGATCCTTAGCACCACATAAAAATAAGCAAATAAAGGCAATTCTGTCCATCTCCAACTACACACACAAAAAATTTTTTAAATGCTGTTTTGGGGCTGGGGATGTGGCTCAAGCGGTAGCTCGCTTGCCTGGTATGCGTGCGGCTTGGGTTCGATCCTCAGCACCACATACMAACAAAGATGTTGTGTCCGCCAAAAACTAAAAAAAATAATAATAAATAAATATTTTTAAAAAAACTCTCTCTCTCTCTCTTTAAAAAAAAATAAATAAATAAAATGCTATTTTGTTATGGGTACAGTTCAGTAGTAGGGTGATTGCCTAGCGTGTGTAAGACCCTGGGTTTGAACCCTAGTGCTGCAAAAAGAAAAAGGAGAGTATTTTACAATGGGAAAAAATAAAATTAAATTAAAAACCCACCCTATATTAATCTTATAAAATAAYAGTCTAATATGGGGTTAATAAACAGAGAGAACCTCCTCTCAGAATATTAGCCATGTGCCCTGCTGTGGATTAAAGTTAACCACAGTGAGTTTAGAAACATCTTTTCCAAATTTTGCAACAAAAAAGCAGCATTTAAAAGGTCTAATCAAATTTTGTTTAGAACACGGTGGGAAATTTTGTTTATATTATATACTAATTCAAACCAAGAATTTTACAAAGAATGGATCTTTTATTTCTTCCAACCCTTTCTTTTCAAAGGGTCAGCAGTCATACTTATCCTTAGAAGGTGAAATAATTATTTTCTTTTGGGGGTGGAATGGTAACTGTTGGTGATGGTGGTGGGAAAGACAATATCAGCATCACTGGTTTAATTTTTACCTCATTGTCATCCCTTTTTGTCACCTACCTTCTCTATTTCTTTTTRCAGAATAGGACACAATCAGATAGCCAAGGAAGGGCTCAAATATATAATGATCTCATGTTAAAACTCAGACAGGTGAAACATTTAGATAGTATATAGAAATGATAATTAAAAATAACTACGGTATACCAACTGTCCTTGACATTCTTTAAATCCTTCAGTTCTTGAGAGTAGTGATACTTTACAAAGATACTCATTGATTTTATAAATTCCATTTGAGAATTATGTTCCAAATAAATGATTTCAATGAAACAATCATGTACAGACATGATTATAACTGTATTGATCTACATATATATTTTAAAGAACCATACAATTAAGAAATAAGAGTAACCCACAGTCACAGGCTGGAAAGCTATGGTCCACTGCCTGGTTTTTTKTTGTTGTTGTTGTTGTTTTGTAGGGGAGGGGGTACCGGGGATTGAACTCAGGGACACTTGACCACTGAGCCACACCCCCAGCCCTATTTTATATTTTATTTCAGACAGGGTCTCACTGAGTTGCTTAGTGCCCCACCATTGCTGAGGCTGGCTTTGAACTTACAGATCCTCCTGCCTCAGCCCCCTGCACTGCTGGGATCACAGGCATGTGCCACAGTGTCTGGCTTAATGCCTGTTTTTGTAAATGATATTTTACTGGGACCCAGCTCAATCTATAAGTAGTCGGAGACTGAAGATTTACTATCTGGCCATTTACAGAAAATGTCAACCCTTGCTTGTGCATCTGGACACTGACATTAACAAATACGGTTTGTATGGATACAAAGACATTGAACTAATGTCAAAGAAAACAATTCACAGGGATATGTACTACCATGATGTACATGTGCTCGATATTTATATACAATTCTACTATTAATCTTTATAACACCAATATAACATAGATATTATTTCCAATTTAGAGAAGAGCAAAGGGATGCTCAGACAAAGTAAATAACTTGCTGAAGAAAAATCACATAACTATTAGGCTTCAGAGCCAGTATTCAAATTTAGCAGGTATGAACAACTATATGGATAAGGAAGCAGCACAGGATTTTGCAAATCACTGAATGACCAGTGGAATAATATAGAAATGTTCGGTTTATTGCCTCTTTTTCATTATTAAAATGCCTGTGTTCAAGAAAATATTTAGAATTAAACATCTGTATACTACTTACTAATGACCACAAGCAACTACTGCCTATTCCCCACAGTAAAGTTTTGAGTACTTAATTCAGCACCTGCTACATTCAAGGCACTGGGTGATACATGTTCTAAAGTCTACCCTCCTAAAGAGGATTACAAGAAAGAACTAGAACCACAATAGATAAATAGTTAACCAGTAAAAGATTAAGTATACATTTAAGAAAATCATTATGAAGTACAGGACTGAGTAAAGAGAAGGAGGAAAAGAGAGTAAGCCATATACTGGCTCCAGGAGTATAATAAAACAAAATAAGCAATTGTGAAATAAATTCTAAGAAATAAAGAACTTGTAAATACTTAAATAAGCCTCCCCTTTTTAAAAATAAAAACAGGCGTACACACACTACTATCCAGCTAYACTGTTAGCCCCAACCAGAGGGCTGTTCTAACCTTTCATACCTGGAAAGAAATTCATTTATTTCTGGATAGACTGAATCTTTTTTTAAAAACAACAAATAATKTATTTCCCATAATGCTTAACCAGGCAATCAGTCTCCTCTAGTTTTGAATGAGAAGAAAAGTGAACAGAATATAAGAAACAAGTGTTTTCAGACAATGGGCACTATGGCATATAGGATTTCGAGCCCACAGGAGGAGGAACAGAAATCGAGCACTAATATCCACTGCAGCTTACTGACTGGAATGAGCTTCCAAGACAAGGTAKTAAGTCAGAAAAATCCAGAGACCACCAATCTCACTGGGTCTAGAGACAGAAACTAGGAATTTTGAGAAAGCTGAAGTACCTAGAAGGATGGGCAGAGTAACCCAAAGGATAGATACTGTACAGAGAGTTAGAGGGATCTACCTTGAGAATCTTATGCTGAACATGGATCTGGGCCTATGTGGAGCTTTCCTAAAAACCTTAAAATTAAAATAAATAAATAAATAAATAAATAAGGTTCTGACTAAACTCAAATAATTTAACTATGTGCTAGAAGAAAATCCAATATTCAATATATTCAACAGCATAAATTGACCATGTCTGGCACCCTACTTAAAATTACCAGGAATGAAGAGGCAGGAAAATATGAACTACAACCAGAAGAACACCCAATAGAAACAGAACTTGAAGATAAAAAAGACAAAAAAAGGGGTGGTGGTGGTGGTGGTGGTGATGTGGCTTCATGGCAGAGCACTTGCCTATTATGCACGGGGCCCTGGGTTTAATCCCTAGAACTGCCCCATGCTCCCACAAAGTGAAAAGTTAGTTGGAAATGAAAGATATGAATATATGATGACTAGGATTCATAGACCAGATACTATAGCAGAAAAGATGACCTTGAAGACCTAGTTATAAAATAAAAAATGAATGATGTAAAAAGGAACAAGGGGGGGAAAAAACCCTCAAGACCYGACTTGTGGGATGACATCGAGTGTTCTAACATATGCATCCCTATGGCCTTGGGTGGAAAAAACATGGGAAACATTTTWAAAAAATGATGACCAATATGTATGTAAATGCTCAAGGAAGATGATACTCTATTCTCTACTATGTAAGACAACTAACACAAAAGGGTTAATACATATTCTAAGTGCAAGCTTATACTGGCATGTAGTAGTGACAAATGAAAGCCTTTTAGCAGCCTTGAATTGGTGATGTGACTTGGCAAAATTGTGAAGAACTCTGTAAAATTCCAGTACTTCAAATATAATCTTCCCCGGGCTGGGGATGTGGCTCAAGCGGTAGCGCGCTCGCCTGGCATGTGTTCCGGCCCGGGGTTAGATCCTAAGCACCACATACAAAGATGTTGTGTCCACCAATAACTAAAAAATAAATATTAAAATTCTCTCTCTTTCTCTCTCTCTTWAAAAAAAAAAAAACAACTCATTACTTAAAAAAAAAGAAAAAAAACAAATATAATCTTCCCTTGTTTACACAGTAAGCTATAGTTTATCCATTAAACCTATACCCTCTGCTTACTCCAAAGAAACCCTTGATAATAATATTACATAGTAATAATATAGGTTTGGATTTCAGGCTTAGAAAATTTAAACAATTTTTTTCCAGCATCATGAACATTTTTTAAGAATATTCTAAGTCATGGAGACCAAGGAACAAATTTATGGTCCTGCAAACTGCCACACTTGGACCAATAATGTCCCCAATAACTGATAAAAATTGTTTTTTAAAAAAGAGGAATTTAATAGTAAAAAAGGTCTTTCCTATTATATGTATCAATCAAAGCTAGTCATAAATCTTTATATGCTCAAAGATCTTTCTTGATAATTTCAGGGTTATTAAGAATAGAGCTGACAAAAATCTAGAAGGTTGACACACCCCCTTTGTGACTGACAAGATTAAACAAGTGGAGAAAAGTAGATGGGACCAGGGAGGGAAAAGGGATAGATACCTAAAATTATGAATGATAAACACAGAAAGTTTATATCAATATAAAAAATATACATTTCTTCTGGATGTTTTACTTACTTGTTACACTCAGCAATAGAAAAGACTCAAAGAATTCTAATTATAAATTTTAAAGACCACATTCTCTAATTTAAATTAATAAAATTAGCTAAAGATTAACAACCACACTGGTTCTAACCAACCACTTGATAACTATAACTTTTAGGGAAGACAAAAATCAGGATTGCAATCAAAGTATTTAAAAAAATACTTAAACTAATCAACTTACAAAAGAGAAAACAAAAAGAAAGGCTTGAAATCCCACTATTTAAACATAACCACAGGTAATTAATTAGTCTCTTAGCAAATTCATGCAAATTAAAAATTAGTCATCAGATATTTATATACAAAGCTATTTTTGTAGGATCATTTACAGTATGAGATTATCATGTCTTTAAAATTAACTTTTTAAAAACTTTACAAGGAAATTGTATAGAAAAAAGAGTCAACATCCTTAATTTCACTTCTAAGAGAACCACTATTATTTTAGTATATATTTTAACAAAGGCTATCCATGTATATGYATAGGATAAAAAATAACAAATTTACTTTTATCTAGAAGATTGTCTACAATATGTCACTGAATTTTTAAAAAGTTACAAAACATGTTTGATACTATTTGTATAAACTAAAATAAACAAGGAATTACAGAATAGTTACCAAAGTGAAAGCCATTAGCACAAAAATAACCTTGATGATCTTTACAAAGAGAAAAAAAGTAATGAGATATCACTACATGCTGTTCAAATACCAACATGAAAGAAAAACAGGGGGTAATACCTAGTGCTGTGTGGAATTACGGGAACTCTCACCYAATGATGATAGGAATGCAACATGGCACAATCATCCACTTTGGGAAAAATAACTTCAGCAATTTAAGTTAAATTTGTTGTGTGTTCATCCAAGTGAAATAAAAACTAATGCTTACACAAAAATCTGGATGTAAAAAGAAATCTGGAGCTTTATTTGTCATCACCCAACACTGGAAACAACCCAAATGACCCTCAACTAGGGAATAAACAAATAATATGGTATATACATACTCTGAGACAGCACTGATTAACGTTAAGTAGGAACAACTGCTCATACAAGCAATAGCATAGGTGAATCTCAAAATTCAATGTGCTAAGTGAATGAAGCCAGATTCAAAAGGCTATATATTCTGATTCCATTTATATGATATTAAGGAAAAGGCACAACTAAAGGAAGAAAAAACAGATCAGTGGTTTCGAGGGGCTATTATATAGGTGGAATACTGGTCTACAATGGGGCCTGGAACTTTTTGTAGTGACAGAATGGCTTTGGTCTTGATTGTGGTGGTAGCTAGGTTTTTGTGAATGCTTGAAGGACTGTGCACTAAAAAGGGTGAATTTCACAGTATACCAACTATACCTTAGGAAAAGAACACRATCTTGATACTAGAATCTCATCCCCGATACCCTAAATCCTAATCTGATGTTTTACTTACTTGTTATACACTTCTTTTCTGATTTAAAACCTTCAAGGGTCCTCTAAGGATTATCATATTTTTAAAGGGCTGCTTGGCATTCAACCTTCTCTGGATGCGTTATGAAACATTCAATACTCTTGAAACATTATGTCCTGAAGTTAAACTACTAAAATAATCCAAAAAAACTGTCAATGCATAAAAATGCCCATGTCTTTAAGTTCTCTACAGAGTTAGAAACCTCAAATGTTCTTTCTCTGTGGATACCCTTTTGTCCTAATTATTCCTGAAATCTGCCTCTCCTTTTTACCTCTTTCCCCGTCTAAGCCCTGGTTTTTCACTAATCCTCAAGTAAGACCAACAGGACACAAGATAAAGTTACAGCTCTGCTTCATGTCAATTAATTTTTATGATCTCCAAGTCTGTTTGGAGACAGACAGACAGATGCCTGTCTTCAGAGGATTTATCTTTCACAGAGCATATGTATTATCTAGACACTTAGAACACATGAGGCAGATAAAAGCAAATAAGGCCCGGAGAGAAATAACATGCTCTTCCTCAGAAACTTCTCATATGGATAATTAAAAGACTTGAAGGGATAACACATTGGCAAACGGTGTGAAACTACCTATGACCACAGATCTCCACTAGAGAACCTATAATTCATGAACAATGGTTCTTTAGTAAAAAGTACTTTCAGTAAGTTTCAAGTCAATGAATGATGAAATGGGAATGGAAGGAAGACAAGAAAGCAGAACACTTTCTGCTCTAGCGGAAAGCTGCACTGCTGGAGGACAAAACGCTGATGCTAGAGATTCTTGCATCATTTACCAGGACCCTGCTACATTTGAGATGGGATTTGAACTTAAAAAATATTAACTTTGACATATTCATAATATTACCACAAACATTATTTAGTCCTTCATTCTAGTTTCATACTAATTTTTAAGAACTGAAGTCTCTAAGTTCTGAAGATTACTATAAATATACCAAGAACAAAAGTAATAACTACAGGGCTGGAGTTATAACTCAGTGGTAGAGCGCTTGCCTTGCATATGTGAGGCACTGGGTTCAAACCTCAGCACTGCATAAAAAAGTAAAATGAAGGTATTGTGTCCATCTACAACTTTACACACACACACACACACACACACACACACACACACACGCATATGTAAAGTAATGACTGTAGTGAAAGTTAGGCCCATAACTAATTCCTTGGTGCATCTGACCATCACTAAGATTTCTGTTCTACAATACATTTTTCATGTAGTCAGGAGGGGTTTTTTT